AGTCGTGCAGCTGTCAAAATAGGTCCGTCCTTAAGAACGTGTGTATTTTAATATTTGACAGATGTCGTTTGCAGTCTGTCGCGAGCATTGTATTCCACACATGAAGGTAACAGTTGTAGTATTTAGACATTCGATCATTCTTTTATAACTAGCTTTCTTAATTTCGAAATTAATTAACCTGTTTTGAGTTTAGTTCAGTTTCAGTTTGCAACCCATTTTTATTTGTATGCATTTATGCAGGATTTTATTATACATATATTTATACTTATGCATATCCATATTTATATAAAACAGTTAAATTTTCAAATATGTTATTGTTATAAGTCAACTCTTTTATTTATACATTTTTTATATCAAACTTTGCTTATTACTGATTAAATATTGTTGAGTTTAATTTCGAGAACCCAATTCTGATTTAATGACCAAGTTTTCGTCCTTAACAGCAGTTGTGGTGGAAGTTGTAGAGCTAGCATCCTTCTCTTTATTTCCAAAGTCTGGGTATAATTTCGCCACTTGTCCGGCGGGTGTACAAAGACGACCTGAAAAATCAACTCGTTTCGCAGACTGACTACGTTCGGTGCTAGTGACAATGTCCAAAAGGGATCTGTAAAGTCAAAAGTAATATAGAAAATAATAGTAATTCATTCCTAACATCTCATACCGTTGTCCGCCACTGAGAGCACGTTTGTGGGCTTTATGTACTCCGATGTTACTACTACTGCTGTCCATTGAATGCGGAGGCGACATGGGGGAATCACGCATTACAGCTTTAGTAGTTGAGTCGCCTTCAATACAAATTATATTAATTACATTAGTGTGATAACCTACTTTTCATTAATCTAAATAATTATTATTTCATTTATTTACTATGGTACTGAAAGCATTCATTCTTAAAAAAATATCTTAGTACGAAACAGAACTATTATCCTTAACTGTGCTATTATAATTATAATTTTTGCAACATTTTTTAAATGTAAAATACACTAGTTTAGCAAAAGAATGTTATAGCAATAATATATTTTTTATTTATGTTCGATAATAAAAAAAAAAACGTTTTACTTACGGCTTCCGTCGTTTTCTGTTTTAACTGTAGCATCTCCACAGGCAGCACGCACATTTTGCACGCTCTCTAAAATTACTTTGTGATGTGGGGTTGTTGCATAGGCACGTATTAACAGTTCTAATTCGGCACATAACAACTTGTATTGATCACTCTTTTTTGATCCTTTTAACCTAAAAAAACTTATTTTTTAATTCTATATTTTTATTTTTGTTAATTAAAAACTAACCGTCCAACACCCATATTTGGGAATGGTAGAGGTTCCCCTCTTGACGCAGCAGTGTAAAGCTCGAAAATATATTGCTGACATTGCGCCTCATCAGCTTTATCCATATCTTCTTTGCTAATTTTGCGTAAAAAAAATGGCACCCAGTTAAGGTTTCGCTGTAGGTTAAATATCAAACTGGAATTAAGTGTCAGTGGAAAATAGCGTGAGCGTCGTTGAAGTCGGTCGCGGGCTTTACTCAGGTTTTCCTCAGTCTTCGGCTTCACTTTGAGTGGTACAAAGCGATGGGCTTTAATAAAGGATGCAAAATCAGATATACGATAATCGGTTACACGTCCACCTGGTCCTTCTGATATTGACGGTAGGTCTTCAAGACAGGAACGTGTGATTTGTAAAGCATGTATGAAGATTTCACCACCACGTGCCGAGAGTAAATGACTAGTAGTTTTTCCACCAGTTTTTCTATAACAATGTAATTCAAACGATATTCTCAATAATTGAAAAAGTATACGATATACCTTGGCATTTCAAGTAACACTGAACGACCATTTAATAAGAATGTAATGAGACAAGCGCTTGGCCGTGATGTGACATCAACAGGAGTTACACGATGTTGAGCTAAACATGGTTGCATATCGGAAGAGCCACAACCTCTAGGAGTGCACCACTTCAAAGTAACGGTTTCGTATTCAGCCCCTTCTTTACGGCTTGTTGGTAACAGGGCTTCACTGCCACATATAGAAGTATGGGCATTTCGAGCATGTAAAATTTCTACATCATAATTTGCGCTAGAATTGGCGTTTTGTTCTTCCTGCACATAAAAACATACATATTAATAATAACTAATACATATATATTATATATTCATACTTTCATGGGTATTCCAGTTACTGTAGTGCTTGCTAAGTCATAATGGCTCATAATAAGATGTGTTAATTTATTTGAAATATTAGGTGCACTTGTAGTGTGAATTTCAGTAAATACTCCTGGCGCAAATTCCATCTTGSCACGGTTTGTCACAAGTGAGTCAAGACCTTGAGGTACAACATTTATAATTACGAAATGACTGAGGTCAATGTGTAGCATTTTGCGTTGTTTAGCAGCTAATTCATTTTGCTTTTCCACGACGTTACGGAAAATATTTTCCAGGCTTAACATACTAGTGTTATCACGTGCGGAAGTTATGCATATTACACGTCCCTTATTTGGCACCACATTTGAACTTCCACCTCTTTCGCGTTCTTGTAGACGTGCAAGCTGTGCTTCTGTTGGCTCCGTTAGTGCTTCTATAGCAGCACGTAAACCATGTATCACTGAAAATTCTGACGACATCGCTTCATCTTCTGGTGGAATGCCAACTAGTGCCATGGCATTTAAAACATGAGACATATTTTGTGTAGCAAGATTCCAAGTGTTGACAATGTGTGCTGCGGTGTCACTGACAATGAAACGAACTAATTTACCCCGTGGGAATAGGTCCCATACTATACGACAGTATTCTATAGAAGACTCCACTGAGCAAGTCCATAAGCTTTTGCTAAATCGAACATCCTCTCCAAAAGAGTTAGATGCCTCATTTGATCCTTCAGGGCCACTCGGCTTGCCTTTGAGTAATTCTACGGGAATGTAATCCTCGCTTGATATCCCAAAATATTGGGTATGATCTAGTACGAAGATTGTTTTTTGGTTAAGATCATAAGCCGACATCTTTCAAATTAAAACTAATCACATTTAGAAAATCAATTAATAATAAACTATACTTCAGTCATTTCATAGCAATAGTTTTCCGCAGATCTTTTATTTTATTTACAATACAGCAAATACACGCTTTGCTATCGACAAATTGTTTTCGATTTCGATCAATCGATTGTTAAAGTCGTCAAATTTATCGAACAGTGATTGTTTTTCTTCAGTTCCTCTTCACATATTGATAATTCTTATTCGAATTTAAATTAGTGAAAATTTTGCCAAAAAAAATCAGAACTGTCCTGTATCTATTCTGTTTATTTTTTTTAATTTAGTATAGTTTTTACATAAATATTCCATCCCTAAGAAACTTTTTTGTTTAATTGAATATATCAGCTGATCATTTCTTGGCGAAGTCAAACGTGTATGAAGAAGAATTCGCCGTAATCATCACGTTTTTATAAATTGTTCTACGGAAGATTACACACAGTGAATGAGTATTTGATTCTACCACCATTTCTTTCAGTTGTATTAAAGTGAAAATATCATAATTTTTGAAAATGTCCTGGTTACTCGGAAGGAATAGAACTCAACAACCTCAAGAACAATTAAGTGTGGATGGAGCGGACCCAGAAGGTAAAACTGCCGGGAGTCGTAGCGGTGATGCTCAGCTCAGTAATGCAGAGCGAAAGGCCATGGAGGCTTATCGTTTTGATTCCTCAGCTTTGGAACGAGCTGCGGAAGCAGCACGGCAATTGGAACGTTCAAGTAAGTAACTAACCATGCATTCAGCGAAAAGATGTTCGTTCGCCGGTTGCATAACCACAAAGCGCTATAATTTCGTCATAAATATATATACATATGTAATAAATATTTGTATATACTATGTATCTAAATAATTTACTTGTTTATAATAATTTTATGAATTTGAAATTTAATAATAAACTTTGATTATTTGCATAGAACATGCCCGCGAAGCTTTGGAACTTTCCAAGATGCAGGAATCGACTAGGCAGCAAGAATACCAGTTAAAGGTCAAAGAGTACGAAGCTCACATTGAGCAAGCAAAAGTTGAGCAAAAACGAATTGACCATGAGGAGAGACGAAAAACGTTACTTGTAAGATATTTTTCTATGTATTAATTAAATACTAACAATTTTTGGGACTATTAGGAACTAATTTGTATGGTTATCAAAAGATAGTTTTTTATATACTCAACTATTTATATGCTTGCAGGAAGAAACAAAACAACAGCAGTTGCGGGCTCAATATCAGGATCAGTTGTCAAGAAAACGTTATGAAGACCAATTGGTTCAACAACAGCGAGTCCAAGAGGAAAACCTGAGAAAGTGAGTAAATGCTACTTCAGTTATAGTCAGTATTAGTTATATTTATGTTTATTACTAACAGGCAAGAGGAAAGTGTGGCGCGTCAAGAAGCCATGCGACGCCAGACCATTGAACATGAAATTGAGATGAAAGAAAAAAATCGCCTTAAATTGCTGGAACATGAAATGCGTGTTAAGGCTAAGGTGGATCGTGAAAACCGCGACATAAACTTGGAACAAATACGTCTGAAGGCCCAAGAACATCGAACAACTGTGCTTGAAGGCATACGGTAATTATTTTTAATTTTAAAATAATTTTAATAATTAATTTTAAAATTATAATAAACAATTTATAAATTAATTTTTAGCACTGCTGGAACAGTTGTTGGCGCTGGAGTTGAAGCCATGCTCACTGACTGGGACAAGGTATTGACTGCAGCTGGTGGTTTATCACTGCTCGCATTGGGTGTTTACGCTGCAAAAGGAGCAACTGGTGTGACATCACGTTACGTAGAAGCGCGCATAGGCAAACCAACATTGGTTGGTGAAACATCGCGATTTGCATTTCTTGATGCCATACAACATCCAATCAAGTATGTGCAAAAGCTGCGTTCTAAACCAGCTGACGCTTTAAAGGGTGTTATTTTAAATCCCAAACTGGAGGAACGTCTTCGTGACATTGCTATTGCAACGAAAAATACGCGCGTTAATAAGGGAATGTATCGTAACGTATTGATGCACGGTCCACCCGGTACCGGTAAGACAATGTTTGCCAAACGTTTAGCCGCCCATTCGGGTATGGATTATGCCATCATGACTGGTGGTGATGTAGCACCTATGGGTAAAGAGGGTGTCACTGCCATCCATAAAGTGTTTGACTGGTCACAAGCTAGTCGTCGCGGTTTACTACTCTTTGTGGACGAAGCTGATGCATTCTTACGCAAACGTTCATCGGAACACATATCCGAAGATTTGCGCGCTGCTTTAAACGCATTCCTTTACCGCACATCTGAGCAAAATTCCAAGTTTATGTTGGTGTTAGCTTCCAATACACCCGAACAATTCGATTATGCCATAAATGATCGTCTCGATGAGATGGTCGAATTTTCATTGCCTGGCTTAGAAGAGCGTGAACGCTTGCTACGACTGTATTTTGACAAATATGTGCTGCAGCCGGCTTCTGAAGGACACAAGTAAGTCATTAATAATAAGTCATAGTATATGAACAACATAAATAAATGTTTCAACTCATAACAGGCGCTTCAAACTGGATCAATTTGATTATGGTGCTACTTGTACGGAGATGGCGAAAATCTGTGCAGGCATGTCCGGCCGTGAAATTTCAAAGTTGGGAGTCTCTTGGCAAGCAGCGGTTTATGCTTCCGAAGACGGCCTTTTGACCGAAAAAATGGTTTTGGATCGTTGCCATGCTGCTGCCCATCAACACAAACAAAAGGTTATTTACTCTTTTTGTGTTAAAAAATTTAGATTTGTTACTGAAATTTTTACTCTTTCCAAACAGATGGCTTGGTTGTCCGAGCAAGAGCGCAGTGATCACAAATCTATTACCGGTGGAAATAGCACATAATTGCTATTAACTAGGGTAGAGAAAATTATATTTCCAAATAATGCCGGCGCTAACTTCCTTTACAAAAACGTTTAATGACGTCAATGCGTGGTATGAGTGCGGTTGATTGAGTGTACCAGCATTTAAATATGATTTTAGGTTCTCTTTTTTATTATCCATAAAATTATGAAATAAGTAGATTAACGACACCCGCTTTCCGCAAAGCTTTGAAACTGTCCAACACTGTTCAAGGGCAATTACAAAAATTTCCTTGCATTTAAATTTGTACCTGAATGTGACAACGCAGTATGTAGAGGACTTGCGGACATGTTGCTTTATGCACAACGCTTTTTATCTGAATATATATCAAGACTGTTAGAAATTTATATTAAACTTCTACTTGATGTAATTGGATGATATGTGTTATGCTTTCTGACATAAATCTCTGTTACCTTTTAATCATATTGGAGTGTTGATTTTGTTTAAAAATTAAATAAGGAAAGTTAAATATACCTATGTATGTATTTACATTACTTTAATTCTGTTGTTGTTATTACTTTATATTAGCGAAATTTTCCGAAAATCTGCAGAAGATCCTAAAGAAAAACGAGAAAAAAACTTTAACTTCGGGTGCACGAGTCCGTTCATTCTGGTAACGTAAAACCGACTGTCATGGGAATGAATATTTTATAAGTTGTGCGACGTTTCTTACTAGATGTTTGGAAACAAATTTACCTTGTTCAACATATAATAAGTGCTGTTGTTGATGGTGTAAAAGAGGTTTGGAGAACGCTGACGACTTAACTTTTCCACGCTGGATATAACTCCGAGTTTTGATTGGTATGGGTCGTGTTCCAGCAGATTAGAAGTAAGTAAGTAATATCTATAATTTCAATAGTATAAAGGAGCACCGTTTTATCCATGTGTCGTCGCATAACATATTAACTAATTTCAGATGAGTAAACATATGTAAATGTTTATAGTATAAAAAAACATTACAAATCTAGGGGAGTAARAAGAAATTTACTTAGCATATTTAATTTAACAATTAAAATGAAGATCATACAATAATAATTACAAAAAAGTACTTTCTCTTAAACGCTAAATTATATCAGTATATGTATACTACTGCTGGTTTTAAATGTTAGAAGATACTAAGAAAAAATAAAATCGATAATTTACCGCTATAATTAGTATGAATTTGTCTTAATAAACTAGACAATTTTAAATAGTTCAAACCAAATTACAAATCTAACACTGAATTAAATTTTTATCCTACATTTAATATTTAATTCAACTAAACAATAGATATTTGTTCGTAAACTGCGCTGATTTTAGCTGCCAATAATATGCATACATACATATTTATATACATAGATTGTTATGTCTATTGCAACAGTGAGCAAAATGCGATATAATTTTGACGATATGAGGGCGTAAATATGTTGAGTGTTATGCGCATGTATACAAGCAGGCAAGTTTATTTCATAATAAGCAAAACGTACGTTGGGAGCACCATAGGTGAGAACAGACTCAAATGTTACAGAACCCTTTAAATACTATCACAGAAAACCGTGAAAACAGATCAGTTATTGAAACGTGACTTAAATTTAAAGGACTACTAAGGTCTACATATACATATTTATATATATAGTTAGTAGATACTAAATTCACTTTAGAATTTTACGGATTTTCGAAACTTTTTCGTAATTTATAATGGATTATCTTTACTGGGTATTTTGAAGAATCCTGATAAGAGATACTATTTAAATAGCTGCATTTCCTTGCATTTCAACTGGGGCTGGTGTGTATGTGTGTTAATGTGCGCTTAATGAGATGTGTGCTATTCTCTTGGATCGTGTTTTTTTTTGCTATTCGAATGTTAATGTGCACAGTGCAAATGCCGTTTATTATAAATACTTATTTCTTAAACTACTAGTTTTTCTTGTCTAATTTCTAATTGCTTGTTCGCCTTGTTGTCGCGCTCCCGGATTAGAATAATCATCTTCTGTAAATGCAAATGTTTAAAAGTGTGTAAATTTTTTGTATTTTATTGAGTTAATTACCATCTTCATCTTCTTCATTGTTTTCTTCCAATCGTAACTCATCGGGAAATTCCTTTCCTTGATCGCCTGCAACCTCATTGTTTAAATTATTGGTATCCAGCAAGTTGTGATTTTTAACCGCTATATCTCCAGCATCTACCGCGCCCACAAGCCCCTCGTCATCATCATTGTCATCGCCTTGGGGTTTGTCCTCAACGTTGCCAGCCGGTTCATTTTTAACACCACCATCAAAGAAGTTATTCTCTTCGTTGGCTGGCAAATTGAAATTTTGATCGTTTATGAACTCATTATCTTTGATTTCATGTGCACCGGAATCTTCGTTGGCTGCATTCGCGGCCGCAATAACATTTTCTTTATTTGAGGCCTTCGGTTCCATTTCATTAATTGCATTTGCATATCTATTATTTTTTGCACCATCATTTCCGTGCTTTTGCACCTCTTCTGCCGCATTTACATCTGCCTCTTTCGCAAGATCGGCCTTCAGGTTAGCATTGTCTTCCTTCAAAAGTTCCTCGAAATTGGCCGGTATAGGCGCTACATTCTCTGGTAATTTACGTGGGTTTGGTGGCATTGGTAGAGGCGGAAAGGCGCTACTAGTAGTCGATGTATTGTTTATCTCTTTAATTGGAGCATTTACTTCGAGTACATGTTGTTCGGATTTTGACGCTTCAGTAGTTGCTGCCTTTCGAGGTGCACTTAATGGTAAAATTAATTTGTTGTTAGCCGATGCATCTGATTGGTTCGATGGTGGCTGTCGTAGTTGATTCAATACTTTGCCATCACTCTCACCTCCATCTGCAACTTTTTCGATTGGTTTTGGTAAAATCTGAAAATTTTCAACAGAATTTAGTATTAAGCTGCGATTACTACGTGAAAGATAAGGCAAAAAACCGCCAGCACCGTCTAACCCAACACCACCAGCAACAATATCGCTACCGGCTTTTAAAATTACATTTTCATTATCATTCTCTTTATGCTCAACATTAGTTGCGTTAGAATTTGAATCTATAGTTTTGTTAGTGGGTGAAATAGTTTGATTCGTATTTGTCGAAGCAACTTCTTCCGTTTTGTTAGTTAGTTTAATATCGATGTGATATAAGCCGGCACTCACTGGCACTTGTTCATTAAAGGACTTCTCAATGCGCGTTCGCGGGCTTGTGTTGCGTAATGTATTTGGCGGATTCAAAGGTTTTTCGTTGTTACTTTTGGTCTCAGGTTTATAGTCACAATGCTGCTCATATTGGGCGATTATGTTTTCCAAGTTTATAACTTTGCTTTGTAACTCTGTCTTTTTGCTAGACGCGTTGAGCAAAATTTCAAGACGTACTTTTTCGGCAACAATGGAATTATATTTTTCCTACAATTTTTAAAAATGATGATGTAGAAATATTAGATTTTAAAAAAATATAAGTGTAAGATTTCAACTCACTCTCCACAATGTAATCTCCCCATTGAGTACATTTTTCTCTTTATCCACCTCTGAACGCACAGATTGTAATTTCTTTTCCAAAGCATTGGTACTTTCCATTAGTTCTTTCTTGCTTTTCTGGCATTCGGTAACCAGCTCATTATGTTCACTTTTCAATAACTTATGGGCCTGTTGTAACTTATCATAGCGTAAGTGTATATCCATTTGTTCATTTGTTCGCAATATAGTCAGTTCTTTCAGTTTCTGTTCCAAATTATGTCGAGATTCCATTTGTTCATTTCGCTCCTGTTCCAACGTTTTTTGTTGATTGTATTTTTGTTCCACCATATCTATAATTAAGTATAATATATTTARACATTTGCAACAAAAACAAATTTTTTTCCTTTCACATACTTTGAAGTTGTTCATTTAGTTGTTCCTGTTGCCTTTCGCAACGTAAGCGTTGCTCGCGTGTCTCATCCAATTGTTGTTGAGAACTGTGAAAAATCGCCACCATACAAAGCATCGCAGTCAGTACAGCTAAGCACACAAAAAACCGGCAACGTCCTGTGCGAGCAAATCTTGTGCCAGTCATAATTCTGGAGGCGGTTCTTATCTAATGGACTTTTGTTAACAATTTTTCCAAATATTTTGGAAGAACTACAGCTGAATTTTATTTTTCAGGTCTCCTAAATAGGAGAAACAAATATACGTAAAATAATATTGCCACATTGATATTGGAGAATTACAGAATAATGCCACATCTGTCTCATTATTTCAAGTAAGTAGAATAAAATCGAAGTTTCTTATCAATCCCACTCAATTAGTAAAATTCATATGTATCAATTTATCTCAATATTCGCATTAGTTAAAAAGAATTGTTAATATTCTCAATCTTTTTAGTTGGTTGACTGTTCTCAGGTACAAGAAACTTTCCTATAAGGTGGTAGCTTTTATCGTGTGGCATTCCGATAAGAAAATTAGTCTGATAAGCAAATGTCAAAAAGGTATATAATATACTTGTCAAAAACATCTGTACAGTTTTGCACAGAATCCAATACGTGCGGTTGTTGGTCTGCGGGTGGAAATTCGAGTCAAGATTTAAGGAAATTTGCATTTAATGTTCAGCTACGAAAAGTTATAAATATACAAAATTTACGACACAAAGTGACACCTGTCTCTAATTTATACGCGAAAAGCTAATAATTGTGCCGTAAAGTATTTTGATTACCCCCACTTCTTATACATAAGTAAACAACAAATATCAGTAATGTAAGTAGCCTACAGGGCAGTTTTAGTTCAAAATCAACTTTCGGAAATATCTCCTTTGAAAAATCAATGCCTTTAGATTACCTACGGTACCGGTAACTTATGTAAGCGCTTAACTAGCTATGGCTTTTGACTACTATAGGTCACCTATATGGGTATATCCATTGTACACGCAGGTCTACTTGCGAATTTAGTGCTTGATAGGTTATTTCTTAATTTTCGGCAATAATTTTTTACACTTTTTTAATATCAAATTAATCTATCTAGCTTTAATAAAGTAGTTTCTAACAATTCATCTCCTAAGTTTTAAGCTACATACATATAAGGCTAAAAAAACTGTTTAGACGAATGCCGGGGAAAAATAAAGCAGAACTTTACGAAATTATGGATTACTTATAAAGTTAAGTTCAGGATATCAACTTCAGTTATGTCATTTTAGTCTGTCACGAAATGGTAATGATCTTCTTGCTTTGAGCAATGGTATCCATAAATCGTAAATTGGACTATTACACAAGTAATTCTTGGACGTAGCCAGTTTTTGACATCAACTGCATAAATATAATTTACCAAAACGATTTTATATTGAAGGTATGCCTTCTTTTTTTATTGTTAAAACGTAATTTTTATTTCCGGATCGGTAACATCAAAAAACCTTTAACACCTCAAGTCCAACTCCGAATATGCATGGTCGTTATTTTAATAAACGTGGTAGTTAAAAGCAAGTACGTAATGGTATCATAATTTTGTATCTTCAGAAACATTAATAGATTTTGATAAAAACTAACTGTTTTTCATTCGTACACTGGCTGAGTAACATATCCTCTCATACATATGTATAACTTATATAACAAATAAGCACGTGAAATTAAAAACAAAAGATATGACTTACATAATATCTGCAAATATCCCATACGAATCCATTGGGATCCTTTTCCTTTTTCGTGATCCTTTTATATTTCGTGATTGGCAACCCTACTTTTACAATCTGGCAAATTAAAACTTTCTGCTGTTTACACTTACTTAAAATGTTGAGTTCGGCCAAAAAATTAAATTAAACCGTGAACATTTTCACGGTATTTTTTTTCAACTTTCGAGGTGAATTAACGTGGCAACAGTGCATTCGATTCACTTAATTCACCTTTTAGCGATGAATTCTATCGGGGTAGATCACTCAAAAACTAATCTCGTGAGGTTTTTCAAAATCAGTTCTTGCTCCAAAAACTATTGATACTGTGCGCAAACTGATATTGTAAGATCGTCATATAACCTATCGCGGATTGAGACAACCATCGCATGGAATTGGTGGACTATTTAATATATTCCACACAATTTGTTGATCGCTCAAAAAAGGCTCTTGGCGATTGGTCGAGAGAAATGTAAAATAATACGATAACGATGCTTCGAAACATGTCTATGACAACGTGAGAGATGATGAATCATGAATTTATACGAAATGTCCCCAGATCAACGCAGAATAGTAAATACTTTGTTTGCCAGGTGTTTAGCAAGAAACCAATCACGGAAGATGGATCACTTTTCACCACGACAATGCGAGATCTCACACATCGCCTGAAGCAACAGCATTTTTTAGCACTTGAATGAATGAATAGTGCTGAGGAATGCACTGCGACCTTTGGTCTATTGTGCCCTATCCTTGCCCACACTGACTCGCCTAGACCCAGCCTATCAATGAAGTCCAGTAGACTACTCGGCGCTCGGAAACAACACTCCAAGGGCCTTAGATCTGCGTCTACAGACTGCCGTGCAGTCGATCAACAGATGCTCCGGAGTTTCAGGCTGCCTATCGCAGAAACGGCCTATTTAGCTTGCAGTGGCCAGTGTACCATGCGACTAACAGCCTGAGTTTGCTTCTGGGGAGGTTTATTATTATTTTAAACCTTTTCAGGTTGTAACCTCCCATTACCAGCTTGGCGTGTCTCACACCATGACTTTGTAGCCAGTGCTGGTTTCTTTCCGCAAGGCTATTCAGCCTCTCCCTACACCCCTGCACTAGCAGCGACAGGCACAGGCAAGCCGCTGTAGCGATGTTTGCGAGGCTACTGAGGCCCAGGATACCGCCCCGTATGTGATTTAGCACTTAAAACATCGATTTGATGAGTAATCTTGACTTGGCACCAAATGACATCTTTTTATATCCGTTCACAAAAATAACTAAACTAAGAGGTTAATMTTTTTCGACACCTGAAGAGGCGTTAAGATCGCATGTTTCGGAGATACCTCAATAAAAGTGGCCAAAGCGCTTTGAGAATTGGAACAAACGGATGTGAAAGTGTATAAATTTAAATTTTCGATGATTTCGAATTCGAATAGGGTTTGTTCTCTAACCTCGAAATATAAAAGTCAACCTATGCACACACAACTTGTCTTATCGAATTTGTGCTAGTGTAGTCATTAACAAATAGAACTAGCAAATAATAAATAAAAGCCCATTATACTTGATAAATACAAAGATAATAATACATACTTGTTAGTTACGGCCAATGAACTCTGAATCTACAAATATATTATTTAGTTATGTAATCGGTATATAACCGTTTATTTGAAATTCGACAATTAAAAGCATTATTGGCTCAATTGATAAGAGTAATATTTACATGTATTTAGTTACAYAAAGCATGTCATACTAAAATTCGATTTTTTTTTTATCTAATTACAGAATGTCTCAACAAGCATTGCCACAACCGCAACAACAGCAATTTGCGTAAGTTATTTTTTGTGATCAATTAGAATCCATTGGCGTCTCAATGAATTTTAATCAAATACTGATATATTTGCACCATGAAATACCTATAAACAATTATAACTCTTCACTCTATGCTATCATAGAGTTGATGAATGTTGGGTTGACAACAATTTAGCACACTGTTAAAAAATTAAAAGAACGTGTGGACAAATTTACGCGGTCGGTTAGTAAAAATTCAGTTCGCTGTTCGCTCAATGATGAATTCTTGGAATTTGCCCAAATCAGTTATTCTGCCGGAAAATATCACGTATGTGTTTGAAAGTTAGGACATGTTCATCCTGTCACATAAGAAATAGGCGTCCTTAGTTATTTTGTACATCGATAAGATTTCACAAGATTTCCCAGAAACAGGTTGCTTTAAGAAGTGATCAAAATACATCTATAGGCGATGCGTTTCACAAGATGTGTATAACAAGAATCAATTATGGTTTTAAATTATTTTTGACTGGCCAAATCATCAAATTAAACACTATGCGCCATATATGTATACCCAAATTTCGATGAAAAAACGATTTTCAACAAATTTTTCTATAATAAAGTTAGACAAATGTACATATGTACATACCATATAAACTATAACCCACTTAATGTGTATTTAAGTTTAGATTAAAGGTTTGTTTGAAAATAAAATATATACATATTCTGGTAAACAATTCGAACATGAGACATTGACAAAAATTACAATACAAATATACCTGTTAAACCACTCACACATACATACATATTTGCATGTATTCAAATATTTTATTAATATAATATATGCATGAGCACACGCCCATCTGTATATTTTTAATAAAATGTATGCAAGAGAATTTTTTAGCCAAAATCTAGTGTGTCTATGCATGTCAAAGAAATTCATTTAAGATGCAGGACGTATTTATATGAAATCGTGAGACCTAATTTGTGAGATATATTTTTCATACAACACATTATATAATATTAGGCACACGCATAAGTATCTGAGGCTCTGTCTGCCGTTTTAATTTGCATACATATACTATATATTTATAAATATTAATAATAGTCCCTTGCTGTTCTTTCTTGTCCACTCATCGTTTGTTAAGGTGCTTGTTTTTATTTAAATGAGAGCAGAAATACTTACATATCTAGTTGTATACAGATTTATATATGTATGTATATGTACTTACATTTGGGAAAATGCGAGGATTATTTATTCTATTTGTTGTTCGCAAAAAACTGACACCAGTCAAGGTTGAAAATATTTAATATATGTATGCACCCATATTAACACTAGAACTACCGATGTTAAATATGTATATACCTAGTTTTACCGCACACGTGAAATTGACGGATTTTTGATTATGGCTTTCATAGTAACTTTTGAGTTAGTTTAGGTAAATGAAAGAATACAATTTAGCAATAACAATATTTAATATAATAATTCATTAATTATTTATAAAAAAACAAAAACAGTTTCTATTTGAATGAGGCACCTATTTTAAATATGCATGTTATATTAGTTGAACACTTGCCACAAACATATTTGTTGCATGCAACGCTCTATTTTTATTGCGTATATCGAATTTGGCAAGATTTGCGTTCATAAGCACTTTTTTGAGGTTTCTGAAGTACAATCCATTTTAGGATGTAATGAACGTATAAGTATATATATATGTATTGATGTCCATCATTGCATAGATGATATATAAAATATTATACCGTCATTTTGATGGGTCTTGGTATAAATAGGTATAGGTCATACTGATTATGGAAATTAAAGTCGGTGAGTGGAAATTGAATAGTAATAATTAACTGTTCTTATATTTTATTAAAAGTCGTAATAAAACTCTGGAACACTTATATAAATAATAATCAAATTTTTAAGCATGTAATTTGAAAACCGTCAAAATGACGGTCTTGGTAGTTCTAGTGTTAAGAATACTGTAATATACATATGTCAAACGATGCAATGAATGAGCATATCGTCACCTGAAATACAAAATAACGTAACATCAAAAAATTCGAAATTGAGTGACTTATTGACTATGATTCACTACTTCAAATTGCATACACATATTACATATGTCCAATATTTTCAGGTTCTGCTCTCAGATATAAACCAGTTTTAACCAATATTAAAMATTTTTTTCACTCATGTTCCATTTTATGTCGTGTTTAATTCATGCCACTGTAAATTTCCGAAAATGTTGTTACGTTATTTTGCATTTTAGGTGACGATATGTAGATGTACATCCATATATATGTACATATGTAGTATATGCAAACCTTTGACGACTAATAAAAATGTATACATACATATATACATATGTATTAATTTTATTTGTACATATTTATTTATATTATGCGATTATAGTAATTGCACATTTCGGTTGGGTTCCAAATGGCTTCAATTGCTAATTCTTCATTAAAGCAAAAAGAAGTTAACTTGGTTACACCCTTCACARACAAAAAAGTTGCCATACAAGAATTCTTTTTAATCGGTCTGTTTGCAGATCCGATCTATATTTTTCTGAGTTTGTATGGGTTGCCTTGGGCAATATTTCATGCCAAATTTCGTGAAGAAAATTTGTCAAATGGAAAACTTTTCCATACCGGAACTTAATTTGATGTATCAGTTTATACAGTAGGTATATTTTGTAATGATCAAAACTGACATTTTGTTGGAAAATTGTATTGCATATACATATGTATGTATAGACAATAATCAATCTTTTTCGTAAAGATATCTCGACAAACAAAAAAGTTTTTCGTACAAAAACTTCATGATGATCGGTCAATTTGTTTGGCAAGCATATACAATAGTGGTCTTATATAGATTCCGACAAAAAAGCAGCTACTTAGGTAAAATAACGTGTAAAAAATTTCAGATTGCCGACAGAGACACCAAAACGTGTATGTATATACAGACGGACATCACTAAATACATTCAGTTTGTCATACTGACGTTTCCCTTTGTGTGTAATCTACTTGCCAAACTAAATGCACACTATCCAGTGTATAAAATATAAGCACCATCATCGAGTGCTCTATATTATGCAGATAACAGTTGTTTACTTCAATGTCTGTTTGTTCCTCAGAGTTTGTTTGTGTGTACATATCCAATAAACAATTAAAATGTGCGAAAATCTATTTTTGCGAGCGTTAACTAAAAGAGAACTTAATAGGTTTTCGGTTCAAAATATGTATTTGTTTATGCATTTTCTATTTGATTTTATAATTTATGTACATCTGCTAAACTTGGCCGGATGCTTTTTATATACGTATTTATTGTTTAACTATAGCTCAAATTATAACACCGCCATGATATGTACCATAATAATATACTTATGTACATATGTATATGCACTAATACAATTGTAAAAATAAATAATTAAATTATTTTAATTTTCAAGCTTTCAAAATATCAATATTTGCTAGCGATAAGCATTTGGTACTAATTTGTTGGAAATAACCGGCAATAAAAAGATAAGTAAAAAGCTAAGTTCGTGCGTTGCGAAGTACATATTAGAAAGATATTAGTTTTTTTCCAGATCATTTCTAACCCAACCGAATCCGAATCATTTCTAACCCAACCAATCGCGTAAGGCTTGTATTTGTCACCTGAATTCTTAAAAATTCTAAAGAGCATAAAGTTTATCCTTTCGTGGCGCCGTGTAAGACAGCGTATACCTCAAATACTGGCATTGAAATTGTCTTATGAAAATAAGAATATGTAAAAATATGTACATACATACATATGACGAAAAAACTTGGTTCCTGTCATTTTATTCTAAAATTTCCAGCAARCAGTTCATTATAGTACTTAGTATGTCAGTCTTACTATTTTTTCCTCAGATGAGTGGTCGAATAAAATATTTACTGCATAGTATAAAATTTTGTAAAAATGGTCCAAAGAAAAGATTAACGACAGATTTTTGTATGTATGTGGCTCAGGATAGATTATTCGGTAACTAACTTAGCCTGCTATTAAGTTTTATGTTATGCTCGTAATCTATTTATTTTTATTTATTTAACGCAAATCGGCACTATACATCAAATAACAATTAAAATTCTAAATAAGACATCAGGCTTAAACATATAAAATTAGGAATTAAACAAATAACCTAGCTCGTATGCTAGTATTTTAATAAAACTGTTTTAACGAACTTTCTGAGGTTCTGTAGAGATCCGTTGAAGAAGTTGACGTCACGKTGCAGAGAGTTTACCAATCTACAGATTCTTTCCTTTGTGCCATTGATTACATAGTTTTTTTCGATCTGCAAGTTTTCAGGATCCTCATCTGTCTAAGGTTAAGCTCATTTGAGGACATCAATTAATCCATTGAAGATTTTGAAGAAGAAGATGAGGTCTGCTACCTGCCGTCGAGATTTCAGGTCTTTTATTTTCAGGATTCTTCGGACGTCTTCTCTTGAATTGATATCATTTCTGTGTCTGTTATGAAAAGCAGCGCTTTGCAGAACTTGTGCTGGATTCTCTATRCTACGTTGACCTTTGAGTYCGTGAATGGGGACCAGATCACTGTTCCATATTCTAGAATGGGTAGCACTAATGCTGAGAACAGGCAGGTTAATTAACAATTGTTCTCAAATTCCCTACACATACGATTAATCAACCCTCGTATTTTGTATGCCTGCGAAGTAATTTTTTCGATATGTTTCTCTCTGATGTCTTCACTTTCCGTGAGTCTTTGGTTATACAAAGTGTAAGTTAAAGGTACCGGGTGAAGGACATCACTGCGCATTTTTTCACATTCGGAACAAGTTTATTTACCTTACACCAGTTATACAGCTCAATAATATCGTTTTGTAAGACGTGTATATAAAGAACGGTGCAAATTCCACGAAAAATTTTTAAATCGTCAGCGTATAATAAGTACTCAGACTGAAGTTTCTTCCCAACGTCATTCACAAATATGTTGATGTGACATCATACTCATCTGAAATGTGTCCGTCGATGCTTACTTGCAATCTTCTGTCTGTTAGGTACGATCTGATCCACTGTAGCYATTCACTCCATATTTTTTTAGYTTCTCCATAAGAATCTCATGGTCCACTTTGTCGAATGCCTTGCTAAAGTCCGTATATATTCAATGAACTGGAATATCACTGTTCATGACTTTGAAGATGTAGTTTACATACATAGGTATATACATAMATTTGTTGTAGCGGATGTGCCACCAACAAATCCGTGCTGTTTAGGAGAAATGATATTTCTGAATGTTGATATCAACTGATACATACAGGTCTATAWTTGGTGACGTCAGATCTTGGACCGTTTTTGTGGATGGGACTGATGAACGACGATTACTACGCCGATGGAAAGGTTCCGTRATGAAAAGACTTGCTGAATATATGTGTGATAGGTTCACAGAGCCCGGCAGACCATCAGGTCCTGCTCCTTTTTTTGGATCCACGGCCATCAGCTGCTTAAAAATTTCATTGAAGTTAGCATTGAATTCATTTAGCTTCATGATCAACTCCGCTGGGTTCATTGTATAAATGTCTGAAATAAGATGCGAAGATATCACTAATCCCCGTACCCGAATGAGCGGTTAGATCATTCAATGTCATGGTAGCTGGGATTCCCATGTCGGTACCCTTTTTATTCTTGACAAACCTACAGAATTCATTTTTGTCTGAAGAGACTAGATTTTYCACTTAATGTCTGACTTGTAGAATTATGCATGTAATTTCTTGTATTCGAGTCTCAGTTAGCTAAAACATCTATAATTTGACTTAGTTTTATTTCTCTTATATCTGGTATGCGAAGTTAATTTTATTTATAAGTTCTTTAGAGAACCAGCAGGGAAATTTACTTGGTTTCCTCGAATATACAGGGACAAACTGAGAAATACCTTCTTGTACTTTATTATAAAACCAATT